GGCGGACACAACATCCTTGTTTGTATGTGGTGCTGAGGATCAAACCCAGGCGGCACGCATGCCAGGCAAGCGCGCTACTGCTTGAGCCACATCCCCAGCCCCAAGTCCAATCATTTTTAAAGTGAAGTGATCATAAATTACTACTTGATTCTCTCTTTGTTAGCCCTATTATCATAGCTGATTTTCTTCCAATATTTCCTCATCATGAAGGGCAAAATCATCCAGAATTTAGACCCGAAGGATTGACTTGAGGCAGCAGTGGCAACCAAATATTCCATCCCCTTTTCTTCTATCTTTCCTATGGAGTTAAGGAGGGATTGGATGAACCTCAATCTATTTTGTACTCTAGGTTGATGGCCACAGGCGTTTCCCTGAAACAAAGAAAGGGCAACAGCAGGTCCCATGCCTGGGAGAAAGTGAAACTGGTTAATCTACTACCTAGTTAAAGACTGATGCTCAGGGACTGGGGTTGTATCTCAGTGGTAGATCACTTGCCTTGCATTTGTGAGACACTGGGTTTGAATCTCAGCACCACATAAAAATAAGTAATAAGGATATTGTGTCTATCTACAACTAAAAAAAAATCTAAAAAAACTCAAAAGACTGATGCTCAGTACTCATATTCTAACTCAGAATGTCCTTTACTGCTTACATCTAATTGGTTACCAAAGTCTGTCCTCTACCTCCTAAACATCTCTCATATTGATTCCTCCTTAACTTAAATTAACTTAAATTCTTCCTTCTTACTTAAATTACCATCTTAGTCTTCCAGCTGGACTCCCTGACTCCACTCTTTCCTCCATTATTCCATTCTTCACTGGTCTTGACTGATCAAAGCTTCCCCTTGGCTTTTAACAATGTGACACTATCTTGCCTCTCTAATGTCTTTTCTCACCAGTTTTCTCTATATATCTATATTTTAGCCAAACTTGAAATCCCCAAAGCATTTACCACTCTCTCTTTTTCAAAACCATAGTGGATAAATGACAGAAGTAGGATTGAATCTGAATTCATATTCTATGTTCATTCTCCCTTTTCTGTCTCCACTATGCCACCTGTGAAGATACAAACAGGAAATGTCATAGTAGAGATGAGTTACAGGTAGGAGAAAGGAGAAAGAAGAAGAAGAAACATTAAGTCAGTTTGCCAGATGCATAATACCATGGGCCAGGCTCTGGACTAAATGCTAGGATGCAAAGATGAATAAGTACATAAAAAGTTCACACTTTGGCTGGGGCTATAGCTCCGTGATAGAATGTTTGCCTAGCATGTGTAAGGCACTGGGTTTAATCCTTAACATTTCATAAAAATAAATAAAATAAAGGCATTCTGTCCATCTACAACTATAATTTTTTTTCTTTAAAAAATTCACACTTGGGCTGGGGATATAACTCAGTTGGTAGACTGCTTGCCTTGAATGCACAAGGCCCTGGGTTCAATCCCCAGCATCACACACACACACACACACACACACACACACACACACTTCATACTTGTCCTTGATAGCTCAAGGATGAAGTAAAAAAGCAGAAGTCTTGTACCTGGAAAGTGGCCTATGTCAAGCTGTCTTTATTTTCCCCAAGAAATTCTTAGCTTTTATCTAAAAAAATATATATTAAAAAAAAAGGGGGCTGGGGATGTGGCTCAAGCATTAGCACGCTCGCCTGGCATGTGTGTGGCCCAGGTTCGATCCTCAGCACCACATACAAAGAAAGATGTTGTGTCTGCTGAAAACTAAAATAAATAAATAAATAAATAAATAAAATAAATTCTTAGTTTTTAGAGGCTAGACACAAAATTAGTCAGTAGCTAAAGAATGAAGGATATATAAGGATTTCTGGTCACATTTAATATGGAAAAATGTGAGAAGTTGAGTAAGTTCATATACCTTCATAACACATGACATCAGCAGTAGAATTTGGCAACAATAATGTTCATTCCAATGGATTCATGGATACTGACAAGATATCTTTTTATCCATAGATTCTGATTTTACCTCCATTTAGGGTTCTAGATTTTCTGACCTTTTGAAATATTCTAGTAGCCTTGGGAATCCTTTTACATATATACAAAGAACCTTTCCTTTATTCCTTCTTTTTCCCTTTCCCTTCACTTTTCCTACTCTTCAGAGTATATGAACAACATGAAGTGTAGATTTGTATTTATCTGAACTGGACAAGGACAACAACTCTTTGTCTTAGTCCATCTGTCCCTTTTGCAAGCCTACAGTCACAATCCTATGGAGCAGGGGGAACACAGGAGTTGGATCATGACCTTTTTTTTTTTTTTTTTTT